GGATGTTGAGGGGGCGAATGCGGGTAGCGAAGCGCTCACCTCGGCCCCTTTTCCCCTCCCCAGGCCATCTTGGCGGCCCAGCGGCGCGGAGAGGACGTGGAGACCTCCAAGAAGTGTGGGTATCCCGCGGCCTGGCTCCCTCTCAGTCGCCGGGGGGGGTGGTCGCCCGGAAGAGGCGGGGGGTGCAGAAGGCAGCAGCCCTCCTAGCTAAGCCCAAAGTCCTTCCCAGTTAGGGGCTGCCTAGAGCTGAGGACCACCGGGGAATCGGGGGCAGCACCCCGGGGAAGGAGGGAGCGATCTCTTGTAGCTAGCTCCCTGTTTCTGGTTGCCCAGAGCTGAGAGCTGGCTAGTGGCAGGGGGGGGGGGGGGAGAGCTTTCATGATCACAAAACTTAAACTCCCGGTTTTTGCAGCTTGTTTCTCCTGTTGATAACCATGCTTAAGGATTTCAGTGACTGCTTATCTTCCTGTGGCATTGCTCTTCACAAATTCACTGTTTCCTGTCCAATGTAAATTCTTAGATTCTCTCACCATAGGGGTGAGATTTATGGTGGTTGGAAACAAATAAATAGATGATCCTCGCATGAGGTTTAGTCAGCTTTATCAAGAGACTAATGTGAGAGAAAGGATTCAAACCATGACTTAAATGTTTAAACTGTAATGAAACAAAATAAATAGCATGCTCTTGAACCTTAGGCTTTCAGCAAAGCTAAGTAGGGCTAGAATTTACTTATAAAAGGCATCAGAAAATTCATTAAAAGCCGCTTATTCATGCTGCCTTACACCTGAGCAAACAAGATACAAATTCAAATATTTTAACCCCCCTCACACTTTGTAGCACAAACGTGTGTCTGGAGTGGTTTGAATATTAAATCCCCAGGCAATAGCAAGATCTTGCCTATCTGGAGTGAAGTTCAGATGTGAAGTAGAGAAAGGGGAGGGCCCTGCATGACTGTGTTTAGACATCAGCATTAACAGGATTAAGATAACATGTTCCCTGGTGGACAGGGTCTGGTTGAGATTAGTGCTGATGTTGGCATGTTGAAATCTTGAAAGGTCCCTGGGATCCTGGGCAGCTGAGTGCTTAGAAAAAGCGCTTTGATACTTTTTGGCGCAACTCTGAGCCTTGTTTTTTTGTCCTTGGTTTGTTGTTGGTTTTTTTTTTTTTTTCTTGCTTTGAATGATAGGGGCAGCAGGCCAAAACAAACAACACTTTATTACAAAGAACACGGCCAAGCTCGACCGAGAAACAGAAGAGCTGCACCATGACAGAGTTCCGCTGGAGGTGGGCAAAGTGATCCAGCAGGGCCGACAGAGCAAGGGCATGACACAGAAGGACTTGGCCACAGTGAGTATAGCCTGGGGCCTGCTTCTGCTCTCCTGAGGCAGGTTTAGTCATCTCAAGGTGAAGGTGGACACTTCTCCTGTCCCCTGGTGGGCAACTGAAGTGGGATGGTATCGTGAGGAGGAAGTTTGGTGAACGCAACATCTCTGATGTCTGATCTCCAGGTCACATTAGTTATCTAGGAGATGTTTTAGGGGTTTATCTATGCAGTCCTTGAACACCTGCTTGGAGACAGAGCGTTGCTGTGGCTGGTGAGCTGGTAGGAGACTTTTTTACCCCCCTCTCCTCCGATCAACTCAGCACCACTGTGAGGTTTTTTTGTACCACCTGGGACTGATGCAGTGTTCAGTAGCTTGCAGCTGACTTAAGGAACAGTGATATGTAGTGTTACTGCTCCTCTTGAGAGGCTGAGGGAGGTTGAAGTCTATCCAGGATGGGTGTCACCATTGCTGCGACACTCAACGAGTGGAGGGAGGTGATAGTGGTGATGGAGTAAGCCTCGAAGTAGCACTCTGACTTCCGATCCTGGTAAAATTAGAGGCTGTTGTTACTTGTCTGTGTGAGTTCTCGGGGGTTGGTGCTAAGTGTTTGCTGTGTTTGAGATGCATCCTCTCTTTATAGAAAATCAATGAAAAACCACAAGTTATTGCTGACTATGAATCAGGAAGAGCAATCCCCAATAACCAGGTTATGGGCAAGATCGAAAGAGCCATTGGTAAGTTAAGAAAGGAGACTTCAAAAATACTGACAATGCTTTCTGTGCCCAGGAGGGATGTTCTGGTTTATGTCAGTTACATTTTCCACATCTGGAACAGTTGCTGGCTATAGGTTATTGTGGGCGCGGTGTCATTGAGCCATGTTCTGATAGAACTTGGATCTGCTGACTGAAACCAGAACTCAGAGCTCTTTTCTTTTGTTCTTCATCTTCATAGATGGAGCCATGCCCTGGGGACCACCCCTGTATGCTTCCCCCCAAAAATCAATGAGATACTGAGACCCATGAAGGCCTGATTATCCTTGGGAAAGTATCTTGCAGCTGCTAGTGTGGATGTTGCGTTCCTAGGCTGGTTTAGATACCATTTTCTGGGAAGATGGTGCACAAGCAAGAACCAGAGCCTTGTCTGAAAGTAGTCTGGTGCTCGTAGAAACTAAAATAGAATTCTCCCTAACTCCGGTTCCCTGCCCTCTTTTTTTGGATGTTTTCTTCCTTATAGCAAAAATTTGAGGAAATAAAGTTATCAGGTGAATGATGGAGTGCTGATGGTGGTTGTCTCCTTTGTCTTATTCCAGGCCTTAAACTGCGTGGGAAGGATATTGGAAAACCACTGGAAACTGGCCCCAAAGGGAAATGACAACAAAGCCTCGAAATCAGTTTGTCCAGACTGATCTCGTCTGGCTGGTTCTCCTTAACCACCAGAATCTCTCTTTGTATTGCCAAGCTGAACAAGAGGGTTTCAGACTTGCTTTGGGGGGGAAATCTGCCGAATCTGTACCTGCTGTAAAAAGGCAACCTTAAAGAAGCAATTTTCCTGATTTTTGTTTTTCCTTCCTCCTTTCCAGAGATTGAAGAACTAAACCCCAAAAAGTACCACATCTGAAAAACATGTGCGTCTTGGTGTTTAGAAGCAGCTAATGTTAAGACACTTTGGGTGGTCTGAAATGTGATCATTTAATTGGAAATAATTTGTGGGATGGGTGGGATATATTATATATAAATAATTTGGGAGAGTGGGGGGTTGATCAGTGTCTGCATTTGAAATGATAACTCGGTCACTGCATCACAATGACATTTTTGTTTGTTCCTTCCAGTCTGTTTTAAAAGAGATCTATAATAAAGTTTGATACCCTTCAGTTGCACAGGGTACTTGCTGCGTGTTTACCAGCTGGTAGTAAATTTTTTGTTCTTGGTGTGGCTGGAGCTGCAGAACCCTCTTCATTCTGGAAGCACAATTAGTGGGGCTACCTGGAGCGTCTGGGGTAAGGGCCGGTGTTGTCGCAGCCTTCCTGGCTGGTCTGCTCCTTTCCCTGGCGGTGAGGACTGCGGCTTTGGCTTGCAGCCCAGAGATGAAATCACTCCTGTGGTTCTGTCTTGTGTGGAGGTGAGTGGAGCCTGTGGAGTTCTACAGAGCAGAGTGGGTGCGGAGACACTCAGCTGGGCATTTCCGTGAAGCCAGAGCCCTCGTTATCTCTCGCCTCAGCCCTCACCCAGCTGCCAGGAGCACAGCTTGGCTGGGGGCTCGTTCCTGCAGGGTATAGCCAGGCCAGTGCTGCAGCAGAGCTGTAGGGATGGTGCTCGACGTGATTGTGTGGCATAACTGAAGTGGGGCAGAGCTGAAGGGAGAGCTATCTGCAGCAGGGTGAGAGGAAAAAAACGTGTCGGTCGCAATCTGGGAAAGCAGGACAACCTGATACCCTCCGGACAAGCTCAGGGGGTTGAGTTAATCCCCCTAGTGGGGATCTGAATCAGTCTGGCTGCTGTTGTGCTTGGTGGTGGGTTTGGCTGTGGGCTGCGTAGGGGCTGCATGGTGTTAAGTTTTGAAAGCTGGGGAGCAAAGAGAGGGGTCCTGGGCTAAAGGTGGCCTAGGTGCAGGTGTGGATGCCCTTGCCCTGAGCCCAGCCTGTGCCTCAGCAACATCCTTCTTTTTCCTGATAACCTTTAAATGCAAATTATCAAAATCATTTGAAAGGCATGTGGGCAGTCCTGCAGTAGGTGGGCACCTATACAGTGGGGTCATGGCTGCTCTCTGCCCTCGGCTGTGCTGCATGGTGGCCCCTGCCCTGCTCCCTGCCCTCTGGGCCACCTCTCCAGTCTTGCCCACCCTCCCTCGAAACGCAGCAGAAGCACTGGTCTTCCTCCCCGTGGGAGCTCTTGTGCTTAATCCTGGGCATGGGAAGGGGCTCGTGCCCCGTGCAGCACCCGCTGATCTGCCCAGCCCGGGGGGGGGGCAGGACCGGGCA